TATATCACCAATTAACATTTTTAGCTTTGTTACACTCAAAAATGAGATCCTAGATTTTCTAGGATGGCCCTACTACATCTTAGAAAAATTGACTATTTTATACGCAATGTTTAACTTTATTGGATTTCTTTTCTCACTCTTAAAAGGAATCTACAATACATGTGCTATACACACACAAGTAAACAGACAAGCAAGCGTAGCACGCATACTCTTTGCAGGATTTTTTGGAATTTTTTCCACATCTATAAACAAAATTCTTTTAGACGCACAAATAAAAGAATATAACACAAAAATAACAACACGACAAAATACATACGACGAAGAACATAACAATGTCGACACACAGCCAACGGCACCACAATTAACACCCCTACCAAATAACCATCCACTATCCCTAGCCCCGCGAAATTTTAGAAATTTAGCAATCACACATAATCCAAATTTTCGACTCACCACATCACAAAGTCCCGTCCAACATATAATGACACATCCATCACAAGATGATAATACTTATGAACAAATTATTGAACAGCCCCATACCACCGCTTTTCAATCTCAAAATAATAATTTTTTTAGCCCACGATGAGCCGCCAACTTGGATCACTCCATCGATCAAATTCCCATCCAACCAACCTTACCTCTTCAATACCAATAATACCACTTTTTGCTTTTCCGCCACCCGATTTTCCATCTAGCAATGTAACATCAGGCATGAATTCCGACACTAACTCACAAATTTCAGTTTTATACTCCATTTCACAGCTAAATAACCCGAATATTGAAACCCCCGACGAATTTGCCGACTCAGAACCATCTCCATCCAATAATTTTCATAACCCTTCTCATTTTTCTCAACCTCCTTTTCAACCCATATTATCAAATAACCCTGACCCAATCACTCCTACACCCTCTTATGCTTCCCAAGTTACCCCAACCTACTCCTCATACCATTCTGACCAATCATCTCCAGACACCCCCCGAATCTCCCCAGAGCTAGACAATTTTATTACCCTCCAACAACAACCCTACCACCTTAACACCCCGACCATAAACCAAATCTCCTCCACTACAAATTCATCCAATCCCCCTACACCCTCTTCAAATTATACCGAATCATTAGCACCATCATCCACATCAACTGAATCCTCACTCAACACTAATAGAGCTTATCGCACTTTTAAAAGAAAGTTCCCCAACCATCCTTTCCCAGCAAAACCAGGAACAGCCCGAGAATACATCAACCACCCCCAACATACTAACACTAGAGAATTTTTAGCCATCACTTTACCCTCATTTCCACAATACACCTTAAACACCCCTCATGACGCTAACGAAACACGCAACTTTGTAGACGAATACGTTTTAATGCCCACTCTTTCTTGGACCTCATACTATCATTTCACTAACCCTCTTTGCTTACCTTTAACTAACACATCCATTGATATAGACCGAAACAAAGACATGCTATATCGACTAACTACACCACTAACCGCTAGACAGTTTACTTACGTTGGATATAAAAAATCACTAAAAATACACACTGCACCTAGAGCTAATGAATATACACTAGAATACTACGATCACAACATCATCAGAGCTAACCAAGATCAATTCTTAGACGACGATCGCTTCGCTAATCCACAAATCACCGAGAAATTTTTCATCAAGACACCATATGTATTTACACTAAACATCTTCGACCGAAAGTTTGATCACATTATTTCAGAAGCACTAACAAACACACAAGCATACGAAAGTTTTAAAGAACGCTTCCAAATCTTTTCACTAACCTTTCACTTCCTTGCACCACACGAAAGAGATTTGCACTGCTCACATGATATTATGTTGCGCACTAAACAAACACATACATACAGTTACTATCGTTTCATCCAAAATCACTTTGACCTCCACACACCCTCTAGACAACCACACCATCGCTTTCAATTCATCAATTCAAAATACACTTCACCGTATTTCCTAAATTTCACATATTGTATTAAAAATACTAACCTTCATGGTATTCTTCGTAATTATGACCCCATAACCCAAATGTATATTTTCTGCCCCATCACCAAGACCTTCAACGCAGAAGAATCCCGACCCTTCCTTATCCCGCACGAGTTTGTACAGCCTATAGAAATCCCCATTTTAGAATTCATCCACAACACTAAATTTAACCACAAGTTATATAACTTAATCCAAAACACACCTTATGAGTTTGCAGTAGGCACTGAAGAACTAACCACTATTAAGGCACTTCAATTGCTTTGGCCACTACTTCAAACTAAAAATATCATCCGCATCTTAGCTAAACTACTAACAACTTCAGAACTAATTCACGATATCTTCCCCCACGGTTTTTTCCCCGACGACTAACAGGTAAGTATGAACTAAATGAATATTACTAACTAATTAAAATATTGAAAAACTCACCATTCCTTATTCATGTTTTCTTTAGATTTTTAGCCTTCATCTTCAATCATCTGAAAAATTCACAAAAGAAAAATAAAAAATAGCAAACTTCTTCAAAACTATTTAAAACCCTATTTAACTTTTGCACCAACAATTAAATAAATATAATACCAATGCAGTAAATTAATTTATAAAATTTTCCCCTAAAAGCAGTAAATCTACATATGATGAAAATTTGTATCTTAAAATTCCCCCATTACTAGCAGTAAATTTCCAAATTCTATGCAGTAAATTAATAAAATGCAATTGCAGTACTAACCTTTTGATATTTTCATTCATTCGCACAGAAATTCTATCCACACTCGCACAGCTCGCCCACGAAGAATTGTTTAAAATAATGAATTTCAGTTTCAAGTTTTCACACTCAACAACTCTAACAAATAATAACAAGTTTCAAACTTTCCTTTCACCCGGTTGGAAAGGAATCATATACTAAACAAAACTAACCAACGCAGCTTACTAAATACCACAAATCATAAAATAACAGCATGACTAAGAAAAGGAAACCAACGGTACCCAAACCGGATTAACCCAGTTTAAAACTGGATAATTTATTCTTTTGAAGACTATTACAAAGTCTTAGAAAGAAATAATAAAACACAAAAAAGTCAAAAGACAAACCCATACCACAAACAATTTGCTTTTTGGAAAAAGTACATAACCAACAAAACATAAGTAAAACCACAACAAACCCAACATAAAATGTTGTCACATAACAGGACCCCTCATAAAAACCGCATGAAATCATACTCCCACACCTGGCCTAACCCACCAGGAAAGGACGTCCTGAGCATGCTCTATAGCCGGCCTAACCCACCGTGCTACATCCACGCTTTGTGACCACACCTTTATTTTTAATAAGAGCTACTCAAGGGTGAGTAACTCTTCAAAATAACCGAACTAAAACAAAAAGCTTTTGTGAAAACAACTAACTAAAATCATAATTAAAAAATATTAAATTAATAAAAGTTTTATAAAATGTAAAATCACATGATGCAATATATAGATCAGAATACAACACCAAGGACGAACATCAAAAGACAAGACGACCTCACTACACTCGAGAGAGAATGACCAACTATAATCGATATGCCGCTCACAATCACAACTCAAAGGATTTAGAGTACGACTTGACCTCGCAGAAAAGGACTTCATTGAACTAGACCAATGACCACCTCGATGTTCAAGTATACGTACAGATCCGAGTAACCAGGCATCCCCTCCACGCACAATCTCCACGCCATTCCCGAGCTAGATCAAACACAAAAGAAGTTCTCTCCGAAGAACAGAAAAACCTGACATAGCCAACCATTCTGAAACCAGAATTGATGCTGTTGCAGAGACTCAGTCGTTGTCACAAGAAGAACACAACGTCTTGTGTCCTCAATTCCAGATCCCTGGAACTTCCTTAACAAAAAGGAAACAAAAGAAAAATGATGTTCGCCAAATACCAACGTCCATCATCCATCCTTGAACTACAAAAGAACTGTTCTAAAAAACTCTGTAAAACCCGGATGGGTGGAACCTGATCTAAACTATATTTTATGATTGGATAAATTAAATGTTTTACCAATGTAAAGTATTTAATATTAACCAATCATGATCCATCTAACTAACAACCCACTTATTTGTAAGTGCTGAAGTTACTTGTAATTTCAGCACCAGAGAGATTTGAATTTAACTTAGAAATTAGTTGGACTCTCCCGAGCACTTCAGCAGCCGCAATAAACCAGTATACCCTAGATCTATTGAGCCTAGCAGAGACTAGTTAAACAACCTGAGACTAGATAGTATAAGAGTAAGATTAGGATCGGTATTAGACTAAGAAGTTGCACGAATCTATCCGGCCGAAAATAAGATAGCGTGACGAGCAGACGGTGTACCCTATCCGAAATTACTCTATGAGTTACACTCCAGTCCTAACTCAGTTATGAAAGAAAAAGTGAGCTGGCAAAAAAAGGAAACGTTAGATGAAAGCACTGCGTAGGAATTTGTTATTTACTCAGGACGAATTTAAGTTTTCATTGCTTATTCACCTACATACAGAGTTGCTCAAATGCCTTGATTTAGATTTACGTTCAATCCTTTGATATATTTTTTATAAATGTATATATATCTGTGTGTGTATTGAGAAATTAAGAACCAGCCATCAATAGCTAGATTGCAGTTGAATCAAAATCAGGTCTCATTTTAGGTGACCCAAACTAATTTTTTACGTCATAAAGGTGGAATACAAAGAGCCCCTTTGATACCTGGGAAAAATAAGAGTTATTCGATCACAAGGTACTTCGAAAACAGTTTGATTCGCACTGTTCCCAATCCATGATGAAGGGAGTTTAAGAGACGCCACCCTTCCCCCTAGATCAACTAATATAGTTATTAACAATTATCCACCCTAAAATAACTAATTCAACGGTTATAAACATGCAAAGTTCAAACCAAGTCACGATATTATTGCTTTAGAGGGGAATAAATCCGAAGCTAAACCCAAAACTGGAAATTCAAGATAAGAAATAAAAAAGACTCACTTTTTTAAAGAATAATTTTTGTTTCTTGTTGATCTGAACGCTTTTTTGAATAATAGAAACCAGCTGAACTATGTTAAATAATAAAACAAAAATGATTTTTGCAAATCTACCAAATATAAATGATTTAAAATAGCACAAATATCCGCTAGCCGCCAGATTGTCATCATGATGTGGTCTCAATCATTGCAACAGTCTATGAAGCCGATATTGATTCTGATGAATGATACAAAAACACAAATGACTTTTGCATATCTACAAAATATAAGCAAATAAAAATAGCACAAATGTCCGCCATATGCCAGAATGTCATCATAATGTGGTCTCAGTAATTGCAACAGTCTTTAAAGCCGATTTTGATCAAGATTAATTCATGACGTTTGAGTTTATACTGACTTTTTTGGCTGGTCAACTAAATCAACTTGATCGTTCATTTTAAGCTCAGACTTGCATATTACAAAACATGGCTAACAAAAAACAACAAACCCCTGAAAGACAAAAATGCGATTTTAAGCCAGCATTTTAATATAATTTTTTAAATATAAGAAAGTAAAGCCAAAAGAACATTTTGAAAGGCCATTTCAGTACAATTTTTTTAACATCGAAAACCAAAGCCATTTTTGATCGAAGTTATCTAAACATCGAAAAAATCAGATAGCGCGAGCTCATTTTTTAAAATTACCATGGCTCAAAACCTTCTGCTCAAAATTGATTTAGCTGTTAGCTGTTAGCTTCAGTAGCTGTTCGTCTTAAGAATCGAGCAGCTGGCTTGTTGAATTTTTCGAAGCTTAGAGAACTAAAGAAAAAAAGAAAAAAATATTCGAGCTTGGAGTAGTTTCGTTTCTCAAGAAATTTTTAGATTTTTCAACTGGCAAAATTTGACGCAAAGTTTTAATACAAATGAATTTATTTGAATACAATTTTAGTATTTAACATTTTTTAATTTAAATACAACTTTTAAAAAAATGTTGAAGACGAGAGCTGAAAAAACTGAGTTTTGGATGAAAACTATTAAGTAATTTACCGAGCTTTACCGCGCTAACGCAAAATCGGTCATGTATGACAACGGAAAATACTGGATATGAGTCTTGTCAACTACTTAACCTTTTGGTTCTTGTTGATTATTTCCCGTATGTATGCATTATTTTTGACAACCATTTCTAATTAAAAATTCATTTCAAAAACGTCCAAAACTAATTGAGTTTTCAATTTTGTGCGTTTGTATATCTATCAAGTATGGGGAATCTCGTTACCAAAATCCCATATTTGTTGTCAGTTTTGTGACGTTTGTTAATTCCGTAAGGACTAATTATAATTTTTTAAAAGATTATAAAATGTTTCAAAATTTCTTTCGCCCTTATTGTTGTTTTAACAAAAATATGATCGACCGCAAGCATCATAATTCATTACCCGCAGAAAACAAACGCGAAAAAGAGAAAAAGCGAGATAGAGAGGAAAATTGCTTGTTAAATGATGTTTCATTTTTTCACCCGTGAACAATTTGCGTAAAATTTTGGTAGTTCGTAAGAAGCAAACATTATTCTATAGATCTGAAAATTCAGTCGGAACTTTCATGGAAGGCTTTTCGGAATTTTATTAGCAGATTTGTTTACTTGATGCTGAATATTTTGATGTGCAGGGATATCTTGATGTGCAGACAGTGCGACTCAGAAAAAAAGCGCGAGCAAACAGGCTTCCGGGACCGAAATTGCGAGGGCGCCAACAAGAAACAGTTCCATGCAATTTTTGCGACATTGGCGAAAACTGCACGACTTTCAGCACTGAGGTGTAGACGACCTTGGGAGACAAGGCATGACTTTCGCGACCGAAATGTAGGCGGCGCGATTTTCGCGACACAGGCAGAAACGGCGCAACTTTAGCGACCATGATAGAGACGGTGCCACCAAGAAACAGTTATTTGCAGCATTCGCGGCCAAGGGTAACACAACGCGGCTTTTGCGACTAAAGTGGAGACGCTGCGAGCGAGACTGTGCGCAAAGGAACCGTTCAACACATAATTCGCGACGGAGAGGGAACAAACCCGAGATTTTCTAGACCGATGAGGATACGGTGCGACCAAAAACAAACTCTTTGCGATCAGGGGTGATACGTCGCGCCTTTCGCGACCAAGGCGGAGACGGCGCGACCCATGAAAAAAAACACATCCCAACTGACTTTGTCCAACAACCAGCAAAAACTTGCAACCAATAAAAATTTCTTCGCAACTTTCGCGACCTAGGGTGATAGGTCGCTTTTTTCGCAAACAAGAGACTGTGCGACTCAGGAAATTTTGCGACGGAACAGAATTTCGTGACTGAGGCGGGACCAGCATTTGTCAGTAAAGGGCGCAATCGGCGCAACCAAATTCAGCCATTTTCAAACATTTGCGACCGAGGTGGAGACGGCACGACTCATAAAAAAGCGCAACCAAACAGACTTTCACGTCTGAGGCGAAGACGGCGCAATCAAACTCAGCCATTTCCCGGCTTTCCTGACCGAGGTTGAGATGGCGCGACTTTTGCATTCATGGCAGAGACAGCTTTAAAAAATTCAGGTTGTTTTTGCGATCTAGTTGCATACGGCCCGAAATTCGCAACCAATGTGGAGAGAGCGCGACTCTCGAAAAAGCGCGACTAAACAGACTTTCGTGACTGAGGCGGAGACGGCTTGACCGGCACTTGTCAGGAAAGGCCCGACCGGCGGAAACAAACTCAGCCATTTCCAAACATTTGCGTCTGAGGCAGAGACGGCGCGACCAAACTCAGCAAGTTCTAGGCATTCCTGACCAAGGTTGAGATTTTCGCGTCTGAGGCGGAAAAGTCGCGACCAAACTCAGCCATTTCCAGACTTTGCTGACCGAGGTTGAAACGATGCGACTGTTGTATCAATGGCACAGAAAGCGCGATGAGAAGTGGTCTGGATGTTTTTGCGATATAGTTGAATACGGCCTGACCTGCGCGACCAATGTGGAGAGGACGCGACTCTCGAAAAAGCTCAACCAAACAGACTTTCGCGACTGTAGCGGAGACGCCGTAACCAAAAATCATTTCCTCGTGATCTTCGCCACCGAAAGTGATACGGCGCGACTTTCACGACCAAAGTGGAGACGGCGCGACTCAGAAAAGGGCGCGATCGAACAGAATTTTGCAACCAAATTGGCAACAGGGCGACCAAGAAACATTTCCTCGCAATTTTGTGACCGATGGGAATACGGTGCGACTATTGTGACCAAAGTGGAGAGGGCTTGTAGTTTGAGACCAAGGCGGAGATAGCGTACTTTTTGCTACCAATGCCTAGGGGGTGCGATCAAGAAACAGTTCCTCCCGACCTTCGCAATCAAGGTGATTTGACGCATCTTTGCGACATACTTGATTTTGACGCGACTTTTGCTACCTAGAAAAAAAGCGCAATTTTTACGACCCAGGGGTATACGGCGCGAGTTTCGATACCAATATAGAGTCCGCGCGATTTTCGCTATTAACTTCGAGATGGCGCGGCTCAGGAAAAAGTGCGACTAAGCAGACTTTCCTGACTCAGGCGGAAACGGCTTGACCAGCACCTGTTAGGAAAGGGTCCGATCGGCGAAACCAAACTCAGCCATTTCCAAACATTTTCGTCTGAGGCGGAGACGGCGCGACCAAACTCAGCCATTTCCAAACATTTGTGTGTGAGGCGGAGACGGCGCGGCCAAACTCGGCCCTTTCCAGACTTTGCTGACCGAGATTGAGACGGCGCGGCTTCTGCATTCTTGGCACAGACAGCGCGAGCCTGAAAATTGGTCTGGCGTTTTTTGCGATTTAAATGGATACGACGCGACTTTTGCGACCAACGTGGCGAGGGCCTGACTTAGCAAAAAGCGCGACCAAACAGACTTTCTCGTCTGATGCTGACCAAACTCAAATGCTGACCATTGCTGACCATTTCCGATCCGAGGTTGAAACGGTGCGACTTTTGTGACCATGGCAGAGACAGTGCATCGCAGAAACAGCTAAAAGTTCTGGTTGTTTTTGCGATCTAGGTGGATACGGCCCGATTTTCGCGGATCAATGTGGAGAGGGCTCAACTCCCGAAAAAGCGCAATCAATCAGACTTTCACGACTGAGGCAGAGACGGCGCAACCGGCGTGTCTCCTGAAATGGTGCGAAATGCACGACCGAGTTCAGCCACTTCAAGACTTTCACGACCGAGGTGGAGACGGCACGACGTTTGAGACCAAGACGCAGATGGCGCGATGAAGAAAAAATATTGGCGGCTTTTGCTATCTAGGTCGGCTTTAGCGACTCTCGCGACCAAAGCGCGACTAAAAATACCCTCGTGACCGGTGGAGACGGCACAACTTTTGCGACCAATGCAGAGTTGGGATGACTTTATTGACCAGGTAGGAGACGGTTCGGCCAAGAAACAGTTTCCCGCGACCTTAGCGACTTAGGAAGAAACGTTGCAAGCTTTGCGACTAAGAGTGCGACTCAGAAAAATTACGACCAAATAGACCTTCGCGATTGAGAGGAAGTTGGCGCTACCGGCGTGTCTCAGGAAACGTTGCAACAGGCGCGACCTAACTCGGCCATTTCCAAAAATTTACGACCAAGACGGAGTCGGCGCGACCAAGACGAAGTCGTTTCGACCAACACGAAAACGGCCTAGCAAAAAATTCTGATAACCTCTGCGACCGAGAGGGCTACGGCTCGATTTTTGCGACGACAGTGGAGGCGGCTTGACTCAGGAAAACCCGCGACCACATAATTTTCGGAGACCGCGCAACTTTCGAGACCACGGCAGAGATGGTGGAACTTTCTCGCAAGGTCGAGACGGACGGTTCGACAAAAAGAAAAAGTCCCTTGCGACCTTAGGTGGAGGCGATCTTAATCTAGGTGGATACGGCGCGATTTTTCCACCGATCTTAATCTAGGTGGATACGGCGCGATTTTTGCGATTAAGTTGGAGAGGGCGCAACTCGGAAAAAACGCGACCAAACTAATTTTCACGTCAGGAACGGAGACGGTGGGATCAGCGCGTCTCATCAAATGGTGCGACACGTGCGACTCAACTCAACCATTTCGAGACTTTTCCGAATGAGGTTGAGACGGCGCGATTTTTGCAACAATGGCACAGACAGCGCGACCAAGAAAACATTTCTGTCAATTTTTGCAATCTAAGCGGATATGGCGCGCCTTTCGGGACCAAGGCGGAGACGGTGCGACCAAGAAACGATTTCTTGCGACCTTTGCGAACTAGGTAGACACGGAATGACCATCACAGCCAAGATGGGGACAGCGCGACTCTGGAAGAAGCGCGTCCTCACAGATTTTTGCGACCGAGTAAGCGACGGCGCAAACTTTGCGATCAGGACGCAACGAAACAACAATGGCGCAGACGGTGCGATCAGGAAACAGCTTTTTGCGGCCTTTGGGATCAAACACAATTTCGCGAACAAAGGAGACCAAGGCAGAGATGGGGCGACTTTCTCGACTAAGGTCGAGACGGTTCGACAAAAAAGCAGTTCTCTGCTACCTTCGCGACCTAAGTAGACCCAGCGCGCCTTTCGCGACTAAGATTGCTGAGCCAGAGTCTGGGCGAACCTCGGGTCTAAGGAAATGATGCGGCCGGCGAGACCAAACTCAGCCATTTTCAAACTTTCTCGACTAAGAAAGAGACAGCACGAGTTTTGCGACCAAGACAGCACGAGTTTTGGTCGCACCAGATGAGTTGTGTACTTTGTAATGTAACCATAGAGCAATTTCAGATAGGGTACGCCGTCTGCTCGTCATGCTATCTTATTTTCGGCCGGATCGATTCGTGCAGCTTCTACGTCTAATACCGATCTTAATCTTACTCTTATATCTCCTAGTCTCAATAGATCTAGTGTACACCGGTTTACGCGAGTTAGTTCCAGAATGAGAACAACTGTAATCTAAGTTTAATTCAAATTGTTCTGGCGTTGACACTACAAGTAGTTTCAACACTTTACAAATAAATAGGTTGTTCGTTTGATGGAGTATGATTGGTTAGTATTTAATGTTTTATGGAGATAAAATATCATAATAATAACCAATGATAAATACTAGTTTAGATCTGGTTCCAACACATACATACATACATACATACATACATACATACATACATACATACATACATACATACAAGCATACAAACAAACAAACATACGTACATACAAACATACATTCATACATATATACATACATGCATACATACATACATTTATAAATATATAGGTATATTTATACATACATACATACATACATACATACATACATACATACATACATACATACATACATACATACATACATACATACATACATACATACATACATACATACATACATACATACATACATACATACATACATACATACATACATACATACATACATACATACATACATACATACATACATACATACATACATACATACATACATACATACATACATACATACATACATACATACATACATACATACATACATACATACATACATACATACATACATACATACATACATACATACATACATACATACATACATACATACATACATACATACATACATACATACATACATACATACATACATACATACATACATACATACATACATACATACATACATACATACATACATGCATACATACATACATACATACATACATACATACATACATACATACATACATGCATACATGCATACATACATACATATATACATACATGCATACATTTTGGCCCAACTTGTTCTACATTTTGAGTTGATTTGTCCAAAAAAGGTCCCCGTTGGAAAACATGTGAGCGTTGTTGGCCATCTGGCCAAAATGGAGAAAATTGGTAATTAAGATGGTTAACAAAAACACACCAGAGTTGGCCAGGTTTAACCAAAGTGGATTAATATCGCCAACACTTGAGCGTGGTCGACCAAAATTGACCAAAGTTTATCAAATTTCTTCAAATTTCACTCAAACTTGACCAAATTTGGGCAAAATTGACCCCAGTCGACAGCAGAAATCTGAGTATCATACGAGTCATTGACTCGATAAACGACATCCATTATGGTTCCAAACTGTGCACTGGATAGGCGCACAATTTTGTGTCTCTATGTTCCTGGATTACAAAGACAAGTCTTTAAATATGTAAAATTTTTGTCAGAACGATCAAAGAAAAAGAAAGAACAAAAGAAGAACAAAGGGAGCGTCCTTTTTGCGGAATCCGCTCACAATTCACAAAATGCACAGTTTGGCTTCGCAATGTCGTTCGACCCAGGCGGCCAATACATAACCAACGCAGGTTATAATTTCAAAACATACTTCCATGTACAATAATATCTAAATTGATGGAAACTATTTTTTCGAAAACGTCTCTCATCTATAAAAAACTGTTTTTACTAAAGCCTTTGGTTGAACTTGGTGAAAAAATAAATCATTTTGGTCAAACATTTTAGTCGAACATTTTTAGTTTTTGTTGAAACAGTCGAACTGAAATTTGCATGATCAAACTTGGTCGAAATAGTTGAACTGAAATTTGTGTTGTCTAATTAGGTCGAAACATGATTAATTGGGTCGAATTTGGTGTAAAACTGGACACTGTTGGCTGCACCGGTCGAAACATATCTGGCTTGGTCGAACTTGGTGGAAACATAGGGTTTTTGATCCCGCAGGTCAAAACATAAGCGTTTTTGGTCGCTTTGGTCGAAGCATAAAGTCGAAACCTCGGCCCGGTTGGATTATAAAAGTGCAAACTTAGATGCGCTTTTTATAATAACACAACCTAAACATTTGTGAGCAACGCATTGTTTTTAAACATTTTATCAATAATAAATAACGCCAACTTCTTTAAAACTAGAAATCACGGCGGCATAAACTTCTTTCAAGTACCGGCTTTGAAGACCGACTTTAAAAATCATCGCTTGTCAAGATTCAGGTGTGCATAAAGCTCCTATAGACGAAAAACAGATGGCAGACAAGTTAGAAAACAGAAACTCGCCTGTTTAGAGGATGACAACTACACTTTGCGTGATGTGATGAACTTGCTATCAGATCTAATGCCAGCAAGCACCATTTACAAAAGTACTCACTCCTATAATTTCATTTCTCCTTATCTAGAGCAAAACGGGCTTTAGAAACCGGCCATCTCCAGACCCACTACGTTCTTACCGCATCATTCGAACCATATTACGAGCCCAAAAGATTGTCCGAGTTCCCAAAAGAATGTTTCAAAAGCCCAAAAGAATGTCTGCATACTCAAAAAAATGTGGCAAAGCACCCAAAAGAGCATCATTTGAGCCTAAAAACATTACCTTGAATACTGAAAAGAGCAGTTTATTTGTCAAACAATTTCGTTTACAGAATTTTTTAACGGAAACTTTTTTAAATGTCTGCTCTCAAGTTCATCTAGTTATCGCCTGCTCTGCTGCATGGCGTTAAAAATTTGTATATTCGAAACTAAGTTTGAACTGACAATTTTGAGGTAAAATGTCTCATCTAGCAAACACAATTGCAGCAGCTTATTCAAAAATCAAATTCACACCAACTTGTTAACTAGTCATTCTTTTCACAGATTTGAACAAGACAGCTAAGTGGTTTTAGATTAAAGTTATGTTATCTATCATTTTGTTCTTTAGTTGCGTATCGCGAAAGCTTCTCCTCAGTTTTGACCTTAACTATGAACCAAAACTGACATGAGGTCAGTCATTAGGTCACTGCTTGAAGTTCATCGATTCAAGTGTTTACTGTCAATCTTAAATTAATCAGAACAGAACCTTTTTTTCTGTCAAATTTATTGATCGCGGTTCTGCAGCAGAAATCAAAAGAAAAAAACACGGTAATTATTAGTTTCTATTTTCCCGGGTTGAGGTGTTCGGCTTAAGTTTCGGCCGACTCGACCTGAAACCTGTTACATGGGATGATCTCCATACTCAAAAAATGCATATCATACAATTCCATGCCAGGAAACTTTGATCATACAAACTCCATTTATAAAAATTATTTGATGAGTTTTCTTACATGCAGGAAAACATTTATCTAAAATATCGAAAAATGAGGTGAAACTTTTTGTTTTCCTTTAAGTTGGTCGAAAAAAAATTGATGCTCAAACAATCGTTTTTCGTATAAAAATTGAACTCAAAAATTGTTCATTTTTTCTTATAACGTAATTCATAAATTCGTTTTTCAAACAAAGGACTCGGATTCAAAAATGATCACGACGCCCCCACCCCCTCGAGGATTCGACTCCCTCACCAAGTAAAGGGTCGCCCCTTTGGTATTGTTTTATGACGTCCATTTTACGCCGACCAACCCAAAAAAAAATTTCTGAAGGCGACTCTTGGTGCCAATACACAATAATTTTGAAGTAGAGCACACCGAAAGGGCCCAAAAACGTCTTTCTGACCTTTTCTTAAAAATTTGCCGGCGGATCTTTGTAGTCATAATGTCGATATCCAAATGCAATTTGTCTGTGAGACTCTTACCATTATCATTAAACCAACGGATTTTTCTTCTGGTTGTAGTGTTCAGGGGCGGATTTAGGAAAAATCCAAAACAGAAAAAACCATTGTGGCAAAATAGGTGGGATTGCATTGATTATCAAGGACTATATACACACATTTCACCCCCTCACAAACTGCGTTCCTCTTTAATTCAGTGGAACGTTTCATATGATAACATTTCGCCCCTAATAGTGCCGTAATATTTGTGCGAGGGTCGACACATGCCGCAATTGTTCAAAATACAACACGTCAATTTCACTAAAAGACGCCAAACACTTCCAAAACCCCAACCCAGTAAAACAAATAAAAACAACATGAAAAAAGCAGCCTTACAATCTTTAGCATCTGTACTATGCAGTGTCACATCAGCAACTGCTAAAATGTACTTTGATGAATTTATCATATGAAAGTTAAGCGCTCACAAAACTCTATGGTTCTATGCGGAACACAAAAGACCCTAGGAAGCAGGAAGCGCTAATAACAGTGCCAGTTTTAGGCTGAAATAAGCTAACAATTTCAAGCTTTTCTATTTTATTGTTCCGACTTTCGGAGAAAACGGAACTTTTGTGCTCCCGGGTTGACCTCCGTAGACCAAAAACGCTAATCATACAACTCCATAAACTAAGTCTATGAAAAAATATTAATCATACAAATTGCATACATTTTGCTAAAAGGGTGTCAACGAATTTTCGAAGAATTTTTTTCTTGTTTTGGCACAAAGTTTGGTGTATCGTACTAGATACAAAAGAGAAACTTTTTGCCAAAAAAATGCTAATTAATCAATTTCCATATATGGAAATCGTAGGACTAACATTTTTTTGATGGCGACAACAAAAAAAGTTTTTTAAGTAATTTTGCAATTGCTCTCAAACGTTTTTTTGTTTTTTTTTTTCATTGAATTTCGCAAATTGAATTTCGTCTAAAAACAAAAACATTTTTTGAAGAAAAAAAACAATTTTATATGCAAAACTTATTTTTTTTGTGAGTATAAAGTAGTCCTGGATACACTAATATTGGATTTTTTTTCCTTTTCGCTCAAAAACTTTTTTCAAAAACGCTGAAAACTTCCCTTTCTTTTGTATGGCATGTTTATGTAGCCTTGATCAATGTCTGGTCATTTAAAAAATCAAATTTTAAAATTAATCATCTTCGAAAATTTTTGCCAAAAAATAAAAGTTTCGTTATTTTATTTGTGGGTTACAGCATTATGACATTTCAGGCCGTTTCCAGTGCATTTTAATGCGAGACGGTCAATTCTTTGGTTACTTTACGTTTTATTAACCAAGGTTTTTGTCACTTGTGTTCAGTTATGAACACAATAAAAAAATTTTGAGAATTTAAAATGTAATAAATTCAGTATTTTTTTGATTTATAGAAAAATGCTAGTCATCCAATTTCTCTTGCAAGTTTTTGTACTTATGGAATTGAATAAAAGTGTATGATTAGCATTTTTTAATTCATGAAAAGCTGTTTGACCAGCTTTTTTGGTCAACAAGGGCTGGGTGTGGTTGTTTTTCGTCGATCGCTATGATAGTTTTCAACAATTTTTTTATACCCATCGAGAACATCGAATTCTTGAGTTCAATTTTAAAAAAATCTCCGATCGTTTTTTGTAAAGTTCGGGTTTCAAAATTCTGGACTAAATTATGCGCGCTTTCAAGAGTTATTTCATACTGCTGAGAGCGCAAGGCGAAATATTTATGCGTCGCGAAATATCCAGCACAACAAAACCGTTCCAAATTGAATTGAGGCTAGCTAATTGGTCGTATTAATTTCGTACGTCCCAAAACTTAACACTTTGATTTGGTCCAAAATTTATACGTTTTCAATACTTTAATTTCTCAAAAATTATTCGATATGAATTAACGGACAATCGGAACATTCAAAATTTTGCCCTGATATACAAGCAGTATCGTTTGACTGCTATTTTAATTGCGGTCAATACTTTGGATTAAGCGAATATAAATAGACTGTTTAAGTGTCGAAACGGCCAAGAATAGGGTTTGAACTAAATAAAGCTTTTGATTAAAAAATTATCAATTGACGGTTAAAATTTAGTTTAACGTTTTCATTCAAGAATCAGACCAACAATGAGTTTCGTATAACCAAACACGCACCCGAATTTTACATTTTGTAATCAATTTCAGTGGTCGGAACAGTTAGAACGCTTTTAATAATAAATTAAACATCTTTCTAAGCGCAAGAAGGTGTACTGGAACTAGCGCGACGATTCTTTCTTGGAAAAGTATTAAACCACTCTCTTCTTCGGCATACTTTTAAATTCGGCAGGCTTTTCTTCGGCATGCTTTTCTTCGGCATGCTAACTAAGTTTATGAAAAAATACTAATCATACAAAGTGCTTACGTTTTGCTAAAAGGGTGTTATCGATTTTTCGAAGAATTTTTTTCTTCTTTTGGCATTATCCTACTAAATACAAAAGAGAAACTTTTTGCCAAAAAAATGCTAAAGAATCAATTTCCATATATGGAAATTGTAGTACTAGCATTTTTTGATGGCGAGAACAAAAAAAATTTCAAAGTATTTCTGCAATTGCTCTCCAACGTTTTTTTTTTCAACCGCAAAATGAATTTCGTCTAAAAAAACATTTTTTGAAAAGAAAAACAATTTTATATGCAAAATTTAAATTTTTGTGTGTATAAAGTAGTCCTGGGTACACTAAAATTGGATTTTTTTCCTTTTCGCTCAACAACTTTTTTCAAAAACGCTGAAAACTTCTCTTTCTTTTAAATGGGATGTTTATGTATGCCTTGATCTATGTCTGGTCATTTAAAAAATCAAAATTTAAAAATAATCATCTTCGAAATTTTTTTGCCAAAAATTAAAAGCTTCGTTATATTCTTTTTGGGATACAGAATTAAGACATTTCAGGCGGTTTCCAGTGCATTTTAATGCGAAACGGTCAAACCTTTGAATACTTTACGTTTTATGTACCAAGGTTTTTGTCACTTGTGTTCGGCGACGAACACAATCAAAAAATTTGGAGAAATTAACATGTAATAAATTCAATATTTTTTTTGGTTTATAGAAAAATGCTAGTCATCTTATTTTTATTGCAAGTTTTTGTACTTATGGAATTGATTAAAAGTGTATGATTAGCATTTTTCCATATATGAAAAATTGTATGACTAGCTTTTTTGGTCAACAAGGTCTGGATGTGGTTTTTTTTTGCCGATCGAAATAATAGTTTTCAACAAATTTTTTCTATACCCCATGGAGAACATCGAATTCTTGAGTTCATATTTAAAAAGATCTCTGATCTTTTTTGTAAAGTTCGGGTTTGAAAATTCTGGACTAAATTATGCGCGCTTTCAAGAGTTAATTCATACTGGTGAGAGCGTAAGGCGAAATATTTATGCGTGGCGAATTATCCAGCACAACAAAACCGTTCCAAATTGAATTGAGTCTAGCTAATTGGTCGTATTAATTTCGTACGACTCAAAATTTTACACTTTGATTTGGTCCAAAATTTATTCGTTTTCAATACTTTCTTTTCCCAAAAATTATTCGATATGAATTAACGGACAGTCGGAACATTCAGGACTTTGCCCTGATATACAAGCAGTCTTGTTTGACTGCTAATTTGATTGCTGTCAATACTTTGGATCAAGCGACTATAAATAGACTGTTTAAATGCCAAAACGGTAAAGAATAGGGTTTGAATTAAATAAAGCTTCTGATTAAAGAATTATCAGTTGACGGTTAAAATTCGGTTTAACGTATTCATTCAAGAATCAGACCAACAATGAGTTTCGAATAACCAAACACGCACCCGCATTTTACTTTTTGTAATCAATTTCAATGGTCGGAACAATTAGAACGCTTTTAATTATAAATTAAACATCTTTCTAAGCGCAAGAAGGTGTACTGGAACCAGTGCGAAGATTATTTCTGGGAAAAATATGAATCCACTCTCTTCTTCGGCATGCTTTTTAATGAATTGTATTGAGATATTTGAATACAATCAACAATATCAAACAAAAACAGAAACACAGAGGACAGTATTAAACATCAATGATAGGAGCCTCCTCTATCTCTTTTTAGCGTTTTGTTCGTCTAACTATCTCTCAAACATAAAACTAACTGGTTACACGATAAGTAGCTTAATGCAGAGATTGATATAGTAATCACTACTATGTATTGTTAAATCATAAGCTTGAAGTTCACGAGCAAAGTTATTGAGATTCTTCAACGCAAACGCTGACTGTTCTCGAAAACCTAGTTTCAAGCATGACCTTTAAGCACGGCTGTCTCAGGGATCAACTCGGAAAACAAAATAGTTCAGAAAACATCATTTTTAGATTTAAGAAATTAAGTA